GATGAAGAGGTTCCAGCACGCGCTCAGCAACGCGGCCCGCGTATCGTAGGCGCCGGCCAGCTCGACGAGACCCAGATTGTGCTGAAGAGGTCCGGTCCTCCACCGTACGGACAACGCGCAGGATGGCGCCCTCGAGGCCCCGAAGACTTTGGCGATGGCGGCGCGTTCCCCGAGATTCCGGTCGCACAGTACCCGCAAGATATGGGAAAGAAGGGAGCGTCAGCAAGCAACGCGCTCGCGATTCAGGTCGACGCCGAGGGAAAGCTCGACTACGGCGCCATCGCGCGTCAGGGCCACAGCGAGGACAGAATTGTGCACACCTCATTTAAGGATCTTATTCCCCTCCGCCAACGCGCCGACGCGGGCGAGATCGATCTCAGCCGACCGAGCGAAGAAGAAGTTGCTGCGACTGCGGAAAAAACCAAGAATGCACTGGCAGCGTTGGTCAGCGGCGCGGTGGCGGCGCAGAAGCCCAAGAACGTCAATGTTGGAAATCGCAAGGACCCGACGTTCGTGCGATACACGCCGGCAAACCAGATGGGCGACAATTCCAAGAAGCAAGATCGCATCATGAAGATCGTGGAGAGGCAGCGGGACCCGATGGAGCCCCCGAAGTTCAAGCACAAGAAGATTCCCCGCGGACCACCGAGCCCTCCTCCTCCAGTCCTGAGATCACCGCCACGAAAGCTGACGGCCAAGGACCAGGAGGACTGGCGTATACCCCCGCCAGTGTCGAACTGGAAAAACCCCAAGGGTTTCACAGTGCCCCTGGACAAGAGATTGGCAGCCGACGGCCGAGGTCTCCAGGATGTGGCAATCAACGACAAATTTGCGCAGTTCTCTGAAGCGCTGTACGTCGCTGACAGACACGCTCGCGAAGAAGTCAGACAGCGCGCGGCCATGCAGCAGAGACTTGCGGAGAAGGAGAAGGCGCAAAAGGAGGAAAACCTGAGAATGCTGGCGCAGAAGGCTCGCGAAGAGCGCGCTGGTGCCGGTCGACGCGACTCAAGGTCAAGGTCACGGTCGCGCAGCTACAGCGGCTCTGACTCGGAAGACTCTGACGGCTCAGAGGATTCTGAAGTGCGGGAGAGAGAGAGGGCCAGAAAGGAAAGGATGCGCGAGGAGGAAAGGAAGCTACGTCAGTCACGGATGGGAGCCGAGAGGAGGGTCCAAGTCATGGCCAGGGAGCAAAACCGGGATATCTCTGAAAAGATTGCGCTCGGCCTTGCGAAACCCACTCAGTCCAAGGAGACGATGTACGATTCAAGACTCTTCAACCAGACCAGCGGCTTTGACAGCGGCTTCAACGAGGACAACCCTTACGACAAGCCGCTGTTTGCGGCACAAGAAGTCATCAACAATATCTACCGCCCTCGGGCCAATATGGACGACGAAGAGGATGAGGCTGCGGGCGACAAGGAGATGGCCAAGATTCAAAAGTCCAGCCGCTTCGGCGAGGCCCTCGGCAGGGGAACATTCAAGGGCACAGAAGATGTCGAGGTAAGCATGCCACCTCGTAATGCAGTGAATACGGAAGCTAACAAGTCTGCTTTACAGGAAAGGGAGGGACCAGTACAGTTCGAAAAGGACGCGGGAGACCCCTTCAACGTTGACAAGTTTTTGTCCGAGGTGGAGCAGAGTTCATCGTCCAAGAGAGGATACGGACTCAATGACGAAGAATCCCGGCAGTCAAAGCGGGCCCGTGTAGAAGAAGACGAGGATTAAAGGGCAGGAACTAGCACCAGGCAGCAGGCTTGTTCGGCGCGGCGGAACGCAGACGGCCATCGAGATGGCGACTCGTTGAGGCATGGTGGGAAAAAAGGCACGCGTGAAGACAGCGACGATGTTGAGAAATCAGGGCGGAGAGCATAATGCAGAAAAAGAATTTGATGAGCTCCGTACAGAAGTCGGTGCGAGCTAAGACGAAGAACCATTGGACGATTGCGTGGTGTAACCAATGTTCTAGGGCGAAGAGGCAAGGGGTGAAAGCCGACTGGCCAGTCCGCAGCGACGTTGACGGTTTCAAAGCCTCGAGATTCATGCGGGATCGTTTGGCTCAGCAAGCTCAAAGCCGAGAACCGGACGAGGCGGACACATTTTTTTCTCTCCCTTTTTTGGCATGCTCGCCAGGCGATCCGGGTTCGTGCCAGACAGGCAGGCTTGATGGTTCGGTAAAACTTGTCAGAGTTGGGTGTGTCGGGCTCAAGTGACAGTCAGGGTCGACGAGGGCGGCGCCGCGGGTGGTCATTGGCTGCGTCAATGTTCGGAAGCAACAGTCAAGACATCAGGCGGGCAGGGGTTGGTTGGGTTTGGGGGGCTTGAAGGGGGGGGAAGTTGAGACGAAGATCAGGCAGGGTGGGAAACGTGGGACATGGAGCATTGGACGTTCCGGCCTATATTTGTTGTCCGTAGCTTGATTGACGGCTTGTTGAAACAGTTGTAGTGGTTCTCTCTCGCTCTCTCTTTTTTTGATTTTTGTGTTTAGCTCTGGGTCGGAGACTCTAGCATCGTTGGCCAAGAACCAACCGATGCCGATGATGTGACGATGCTAGTCAATCACTTTCCAACTTCCAGCAGCGTGGATTGGAACGAGAGGGTGAGGGCGCGAGGCAGGGGGGAAGTCAAGAATGGGGAAAGTTGGCAGCAGCTGAAGCATCGCGAGCTTACCAGCCAGAAGAGTGCGCCATTCTGGTAAGCTTAATTTCTGGAGTTCGGCATCGAGATGCGGCTGTTGGCTTGGTCTGAGTCGAGAGTTGAGACTCAGAGTTTTGAGGCTTGCTTCTGATATTTGGCTTTCTCGGCAGCGTTCGCCAGCAGTTCCGATGCAGCCTCAGCCCACCAACTCGTAGAGACCAGGTTTGCGAGAGCTGATCGACTCGGTTCATATGTGAGCGTTCCCCTTCACCCGACCCTTCTTTCGGTCCATTGAGTTCTTGGTTGCACGAGCGGCAGCGGGCAAGTCAAGCCTGATCCGAATGCGGGATTCCAAGCGCAGATCGACACGAGATGTTGGGTTCTGTCAGCGGGCTGATGTCCATTCATGCGGCGGAGCCCTTGCGGATACATGAGGAGAGGGCAATAACTACCGCAGTATGGAGACAGCTAACAGGTAAGTTTTTATTATTCCATTTTTTTTTTTCAGAGTTATTTTATTCTCTTTTCCCTGTGCCTGGCGAGACAAGAGCAACGTTGAGACTTTTTGATGGTGGAGTTTAGAGAGACTGGAATGGAAGACAGGACTGATGGCCCAAGACTTCGGTTGGCTTCAGCGCCCAACTTGGCTCCTGTCGCCAAGCCCCTTAGCGCAGGTGCGCTGTTCGCCCCGTACGCCATGGCAGTGTGGCACCTGCAGGCGGCGCGCTTTGAGGCGCTATGAAGTGTCGATCGAGCCCGGCTGCATCATCCGAGTTCAACGTCAAGCCTTTCTCTTGCTTCTTCTTCCTGCATCAGCAGTTCGGACTCGTTTTCTAGTAGCACTGACCGGGCGCCAGCCAACACACACTCTCGCCGAGGGATATACATCAAGCCGAGGCAGGTGTTCTCATCTTTCCGTTCCATCTCCATGAACGAACGGCGAAGCTGAGATCCGGCCGAAGTCAACCTGACCTCCTCCCGCCCAGCTGAAGAAAAGCTTGGTTCCTCCTCGTGGAGTCAGTCGTGGAGTGAGTGGATGGATGAGCAGCAGAACTCCGCCAGGGAGCAAGACCCCGGCCGGCAGTCCTCCATTCCATCCCATCTATGTTTCTCATTCCTCGCTACCTGCCGCGCTCTACCAAGATCCCACTCCAGAGACCAAGACAGGACCCTGTAACGACGTGCTGCACGTCCACTTCAGATGTTCCGTCGCTGTCCTCTTTTGCCCCTTCCTTCATGCCCGAGAGGTGTCTCTGGCCCCAAAGCATGAACAGGAAGCTTCTTCCCAGACACGACACCCCGGACGCACCGGCCAGCCATCAGCGGCCAGCATGACAGACTTGACTTTTGCGATGCACCTCAGGTCTGAGTCCACTACACACCAAAACCCCGGCCTGTCAAGGTTCGTGTAGAGAGTGTCACTGTCCGCCCTGGCTCAATGCTCTGCAGAAGCCTGCGAGGCATGCCTGGCCTGGTCTCGTCTTGTCTGGTGTGGTCTGGCAGTGTCTGTCGTCTGGCCTCTCCACGACCACGACCACCACCTGCAAACTAGCTCCCGAAGCTCTCGTGGTCGGCGCCGTCATCCAGTTGCATCCGAGCCCGAACTTGGCGTCCGGCGGCGGTGCCAGTCGTTCTTTTGTTTCCTTATGCCTTACCCCTGGCATCTGCGAGCGTCCAGGGTATCACCCATACCTCGGACGCACTGCTGAAGCTCAATTGCCAAGTTGGCGGTTACTTGTTGGGCACCTTGTATCATGTCTCTGCCCCCCGCGTCGTGGCCTCGGCGGCGAACTTTGTCGTGTCTTTGACGGAGGAGCCCACGACGATGCTTATTTCTTTCCGGTCTGCCCACCTCCGGTTTATCTTGGGTTTTCTCTGTTCCCTCATCTCTTCTCGTCGTCGTTAATTTTGGTACCGGGCGTTTACACTACCTTCCATTTTAATATCTCTCCATAATTTCATTTCATGCCTCTGCGAGGACTGCGCCGCTTTCACATTCAGCTACCACACCAAACCCGTCCAAAGTACCCATATCATATCTCCATCGTTGCCCGCGCTCACCGAGCCACGGTTCATCCCCCCGGCATACCACGCCATATTATACTAGCCCGAAAGCTGGCTCAATAATACGAGAATCCCGCGCCTTAGACTCACAGCAGCGCGCTCTTCACAGTTCCCCCCTGATGCGAGACGTATCGGCATCCCCTGCAGACACACTTGGAGTCGGGCAACTGGACTAGTCCCATTGGGCCCAGGTTGTTAGAGCGATCCACCACCAGCAACGTACACGCGTACGTAGTACGTATGATAGGCGTAATCGTCGGACGCTCTGATTTTAAATCGGGGAGCGTATCAGCTTGAAGACGATGGTTCCAAATCTGGGGCCAAACTCATCACTCGGCTACACTCCGTTCGAATACTGGAAGGGCCCGAAACCTGTCATTCCCAGGCCAAAACGCAAATCAAGAGCCGTCGCCCTCGATCTAGAACCGCTACTTCCCACCCCCACACCGGGCCCGAGGCCTCGCGCTGCCGCAACATGGCCCGGTCAACATGGCCTGAAGAAACCTCAACGCCCTCCTCCTCCCCCGAGTGCCTTCGTGGCGCAGCCACACTCGTTCATCGCCTCGCCCAATAAGGCGAAACCTTTTGCGGAGATTCTCGTCGTCCCCCCAAAGGTCCTGGTGCATCCACTTTTTCGAGACGAGATAAAGACCCCAGACTGGCCCAGGGGATTCTCCCCGTACCCGGACTCAATGAACGACTCGACTTACAACATCATGGGCGAATACGGTTTTTCAAACGAGCGCCTCGCCCAGAAGCCCGCCACCGCGTGGTGGGATCCCCGGGGGTGGACGAAGCGTATCTGGGCCGGTGTTAGTGCCGCCATCATCATTCTCATCGTTATCATTGTCGCCGTCGCCGTCACCCAGGCCAACGCCAATCGATACCCAGACTACTCCAAGCTGTCGTATACGCTGAGTGACACATGTACGGATCAACCATGCGAGGACTCCTCACCAGAAATCCCCGACTGATGAAAATTGGAAACCCCAACACAGACTCTGGAGAGGACTTTTTTGACAAGTTCAACTACTTCAACACATATGACCCAAGTGTGTTCTACTCACACTCGACTGCCTGACGCAGCAGCATACTAACTGAGCCCGACAGCGGGAGGAATGGTTCACTACGTCGGCTCAGCTGAGGCAGCATCACGGGTACATTCATCACCACTCCTACTTGGCGCAACATCAAACTGAACCCCAGCCAAAAAAGAACCTGACGTATGCCACTTCCGACACAGCGGTGCTCCGTGTCGACAGCACCACCGGCAATAGCTCCACCCCGGATGCTTCGACCGGCCGCTTCTCCGTCCGCGTCGAGTCCAAGACGCAGTACAACAAGGGTCTCTTCGTCTTCGACGTCAAGCACACCCCGTACGGGTGCGCCTCCTGGCCAGCGCTATGGTTCTCGGACCCCAACAACTGGCCCGACTACGGCGAGATCGACGTCATGGAGGCCATCAACCAGGGCACCGACGGCAACCAGATGACGCTGCACACCACCTCGGGCTGCAAGATGGACGTCAAGCGCAAGCAGACGGGCAGCGTCCTCGAGACCGACTGCAAGAACTCGACAAACTCCAACGCCGGCTGCGGCGTCGAGGGCACCACCTCCTCGTACGGTGCCGCCTTCAACAAGGGCGGCGGCGGCTACATGGCCATGGAGTGGCGCGAGGAGGGCATCCGCGTGTGGCAGTTCGCCCGCTCCAGCGCGCCGTCCGACATCACGAACAGCTCGCCGGACCCGAGCGCCTGGGGCGAGGCCCTCGCCGACTTCCCCAACACGTCTTGCGACATGTCGTCGCACTTCAAGAACCAGTCGCTCATCATCAACATTGACGTCTGCGGCTCGCTCGTCGAGGCCAAGTACGCCGACTCGGGCTGCGGCGGCACGAGCTGCTCCGACTTTCAGGCCAACAACCCCAGCGCCTTTGAGACGGCGTACTGGGAGTTTGGAACCTTCAAGTTCTACTCAGCTTCGTGATGTGTTAGACTTACAAAAAAGGAACATGTTCATACTGAAAAACACTGTTTGTCTATATAAAGCATGAGATGATTGCCACCGAGGCAGGTTACCGGTGGCCAAAATGATCGTACCGGACGGGCGATCAATGACCTTTTGACTTTCAATGAGCGAGCGAGCCTTTCGAACATTCTTGTGGTTTTACACTCGAGAGGCAGAGATTTTCTACATATAAGACCAAAAAGGGGGGACGCAAAAGTCCTACATCAAAAGTTCATAGTTCTTTCACCATTTCAGAATGGCTGCGGACTTAATGTCTAGAATGGTCTTGTGTCTATATATTACAATTCACTTCTCGCGGCCAGAACCTCGTGCTGCCATGTGACATGATATACACGCCGAAAGTGAGGAGGTTTTGGTCCCAACCCATCATCATACAAGAAATGCTGCCTGCCACAGCCCGGGGAAAGAAAAAAAAGTCAAAGTGGAGAGGTCCCTTGAAGTCTATCATCCCTCCCCCCGTCGAAGCCTCTATCCCGAAGAGGCTCCCCTTGAACGCCATGCAATGCAAACAATGTTGAAGCCACCACCACCAACCCCCTTTTTCATACACTCCCAATACCACCCATCTACTCGTCCTTCGGACTCCTCATGTACGCATCAATCGCCGCGCTGAACGCCGCAAACGCAACGCACCCGCCCAGCGCCGCCTGCGGCCCCGCGTTCTTGGCCAGGATCCCGCCCGTCAGGCACCCCGCCGCCACGCCGTTGCCCAGGTCGTTCTTGGCCCGCAGCCCCTCGATCCCGCACTCGATACCCGCGAACAGCGCGCCCACCTTGCCAAAGTTCTTGGCCATGCTGTACGACCGCGTCCCCATGTCCTTGAACCCCACCCGCAGCTGCTGCCGCAGCGGCAGCTCCGCGATGGGCGTCGTCGTCGGCTTGCCGTCGATCGTGGCCGTGTGGAAGGGCGTGTCGTAGGACATCTATTGCGTCTTCGTGTGAGTTTCTTGGTCTCGTAAAGGCAGCTCAGGGAGGTGACTGCGGGGAGGGGAGCTTACGGAGGCCATGAACATGCCAAACAATCCACCCATGCCGAATCCCATCACACCAGACATGACGCTCTTGGTCCAGCAGTTCTCCATGAAATTCTGCATCTATAACGGCTCGTCAGTGCTTTGCTCCTCTCACATTTGCGCAAATGTCCACACGTACAGCTGCCATCTGCGGATCCGAGGGACCCATTGCCGCATCGGCTGGCGATCCCGCCTGAGGGCCAACACCGGGGAAACTCATGATGAATAGATCGATCGATATTTCGCGGTAGGGAGGGACGTTGCTCGAAGCGCGATAATTGAATGCGATCGCGACGCGTGGAAGACGAGGTTCGCGGGAGTTGACGGATCACCAAAATTCTGCCGCAGCAAACCACTCAGCGTTCTCGATGGCAAAAGATAAATTTCTTATCTTATCGGATTTGGACTCAGTGGCACGTGCTTCTCCGACCGGCCTCCGACCGGTCCCTCCCGAAGTTGGTGGGGTCCCTCCGGACATTCTCCGTGCGTCGCCCAAATCAGTAAACACAACATCATCACTCGTGCTGAACAACACTCGTTTCAACGTCTTAAAATGAGCTACAAGAAGTCTGCCTCTATCGCGTGGGCACGGAATGAATCGCCCGCAATGACCCCGCTCGGCCTATCATATGAATGCCTATTGGTCAAAGTAAGAGTTGAGACCAATCCTGCCCGTCTTCGGCTCCAACTTCCGTTCCAGCCATAATTGACTGCAGTTTATCGATACCACCCCGAGATGCAGCATCGGACGTGATTCTAATAACTTCAACCTGTTTCATGGGCATCCAATTCTGCAGCAAGAGGAAACGTTTACCGCAAAAACAGGTCGCCAACACCGTTCCTAAGTGTTCTCGTCCGGTCAACATGGTCCAGGCCGAGGAAGTCGTCGTCGTTTGTCGCAATGTCCCAGAGTACGTCGTCTGCCTAGTGTCAGAATCACAATCACAAGCAAAGGCAATCAGCTTTCTTACCATCCTGAAGGTATTGTGGCTTGGAGAAGTGCGATCTCTTAACCACCGCAAACTTGATCTTCTCGAAGCTCTTGCCCTTGAAGCCAGTCCTCTTCTCGAGACGCTTTTTGGTTTCCGCAAACGGTTCGCTCTGTATTATATTAGCATCAAATTCAATAAATAAATCAGGTGACGCGTACCTCAATGAGCAAGAATTTGAACGGAATGCCGTGGACTCTGTTCGGCTCATTCTGGAAGTGGAACACTTGAATGAAGTTGTTCGCCTCTTCCTCGTTGGCCTCTTCTTCAGGAACTCTCTCGGCGTAGACATTCGTGTAGTCGTTCATGCTGATAACAGGGTAGTCCCGCGGGAGTTCACGATAGAACTTGTGACTGCTGGTCTCATACACCCGGATGCGGCCTCCTTCAGCTTCCTCTGGGATACCCGCCTTCTTGACCAAGACCTGAATGAGGTCCTCAATGTTGCCATTCTTGGCGACAAGGAGATCGTATTGGTCCTATTTAGGGTCAGCGTCTCGCACAGCACTCTTTGAAAATTGTCTCACCTCTTTCGTGATGCCTTCGCTGAGCCACGTAATCTTGATACTCTTCTTGGTGTCCAACTCAGCCAAGCTCATGTCCAGGACTTCGAAATAGAAAGCATCTGTCCTTTGGCTTGTGCTAAGTTGGTTGTAACCTGAAGGGTTGAGGATGAGTTGTAAGCTCTGATTGACGCCGCGCTTGACGGTCGTCTTGGGGTTTCCCGTGGCCGAGTTGACGGTCCAGAAGCGAATGTGAGTGGCCGGTACACCTATTCTGTCGGCGACGCGTTCTGAGAGCATGTCGTAAGTGATTTTGGAGTTCAGAACCAGCTCGAAAGGCTGGTACTTTTCGGCGTTGCAACGTGTCGGGTGCGCGTGGAATTTGACAGTCTTCTTGTTGTGCAGGAAGTCGTAGTATTCCCGCGCGTCGTCAAACCGGTCCGATTTCTTGACTGGCTGCTCTGGTGTTTGCTTGTCCTTATCGCCCAACCCCAGATGCTTCTCCAGAATGTTCTTATCACTCTTGCGCTCAGTGGTTTTTTGGAAGCAAATGATGTCACCGTCCTGTAGCTCTGCGGCTTTGAGAGACTGCTTAGCCTTCAAAGCCTCGATCATGGTTGGCTTGATCTCCTCCCACAGTGAGATCTTCTCATCGGACGGCAGCTTGTCGCCCCAGCCCATCTTCTTCATAATGATCGGCACCAGCTCCTCGACCTTCTTCTCCTTACTAATATAGACGTGGCCGATGCCGTTCAATGACTGCTCTTCGACATCGAAGTGCTTGAGGAAGAGTAGGATCAAATCGTTCTTTACAACAACCCCGTTGAGCTGGCTTTGATAAGTCGGCCAGATTGCTTCGCCTTCAGGTGTAGTCTCCTCGGCGACCTCGGCCCAAACTCTCAAGGACTGGTCCCGGTGCGCGGCAGCCCTCTGGAAGGTCTCCTCCACCGTAGGGCGAAGATCCATGATGGGTTGATCGGGACGAATCGTCTTGTTCTGGCGGTTGACCATAATCCACAGTCGGATCTTGCGGGGATCTTCGTCAATATCCTTCGCAATCGTCGCTACCAGCTCTTCCATCGCAGACTGACGAAGTACCCTGTAGGAGCGGGGGGCGGCCTCTGTCTCGGCTTGGTCCGGCTCAAATGAGGTCAGATCCGTGCCGCCATGCTTCTGGAAGCTCTGCTCCGTGATGACCTTAACACCAATGTAAAGATGCTGCTCCTCCTTTTCTTTGCGCTTCGCCTCTCTGAGGGCGGTTTCCTCCTCAATCCTGGTTCGGAGATGCATAGGAATGTCGTCCTTGGTGACAGGGCAAAGAATGTTGTCGAGGCGGGTTTTGCGAATATACACCAACATGTAAGCGCTGTTCTGGCGCAGAACTGGAGTCTTCTTCTGCATGGGGGCACGGAGGTAGGCGTTGGGGCTGGTCTTGTACTCTCCGCCAAAGTTCTCCTCCAAGACCTCACGCATTGTAGCCTTCGTGACCTTGTCGTCGTCGTACTTGTAGAACCATCCATCCTTTTCAGGCTTGAGGAAGGCATAGTAGTGGCCAGCGTTGAGATCACCACTGTGAACAAGTACACCGTGCAGTTGGTACTCCCAAGACTCCGACCTGTCAGCGTCTTCGGACAGGTAAGGGGACGCATCGAAGTGCTCGGGGAACTCGTATCGGTCATTGATCTTCATCATCGTGTCGCGTTGAATATCGTACTCGAATCGCTTGAGCTGCAGGTGGAGGACGTTGGGGAAGCTCTGGAAGATCACACCCTTGTTGGCATCCTGAAGCTTGAACTCGTCGCCGGCAAAGTACTGGTTCTCGCCGTCCATCTTCTCCACCTGAACATAGTCCTGGAAACTCTCCAAGAGGTTCTTGTTTCCGCTCACGTTCAGCTGAATATCCCAAAAGTCCTCGATACGGCTAGACTCGTAGTCGACGTTGATGCACGAGATGTAGGTCTTGATCTTACCGCTGAACATCTGAGGGAGAACATGTTCAGCTGGCGTGCCCTTCATCTTCTCCTCCATGCGTTCCATGAGCTTACGCGACAGCTCTTGAACATCTTGCTGTTCAAAAATGTGTCGCGTTTCCCACCCGAAAGATTTGGTCAGTTCATTGGTTCCGACAGCGGTCTCGGAGGTTTGGAGCTGGTAGAAAAGACGCTGGAGTGTGTATGCACTGTTGCTCATGCTCTCTTCTTCTTGCGTAGGGATTTCGTAAATCGCCTATGTTTGTTAGCTTGATACCCATGGGGTGGGACATTTGCGACTCTACTTTTCGGAATGCGTTGGTAAAATACAAAGATTGGAGGAGAGAGTTGAGGTAGCACGTGGCACCTTGGTTGCGCAGACCGACATAGCCGGTTTCCTTCTTGGAGTCGTAGTTGTTGAAGTTGTGCCAGAGAACTCCCGTCTCGTCTTCGACGATGCGAACGTATGCCGTGATGTTGGCCGTCTCGTTCTCGCACAATGGTCGGTTGCCTGACTCCCAGGGAACATTGAACATCTTGCGAAGCTCCAGGAATCGAGTAAATCCCCAATCAGACTCCTCTTTGGTGAAGCGATGGTGAGCACAGTGATGGGTATATAATTTCGGGTCGTTCGGGTTCCATAGCACCAAAGCGAACTGCACACAGCAGCTCCAGTTCTCGGGTATCTGAGTCGGCTCGAATCCATGCTCGAGGTAGATGGAGCACTGATCAACGTTATTGCCGTGCGGGAAGAGCAAGATACGCCTATGGAGGGTGGTTAGCTAGATTGATGCGAGATGCGACGGGGAGTAGAAGCATACCATGGGTAGCCACCGGCTTCAAAGACGGGACCATGTTCTTTCTTGGACATTGACCTCCAGGACTCCACGGTCCATGTGTGATGGACATCTTCGAGGATGCGGGGCTCTTCAAGAAGTGGTGGGAAGATGACATCTTTCATGGCCTCATCTGGTCCGAGTTAGCCGGGGCAAGGTGTGTCGGCAGAGGATTGGGTGATCTCACAGTCGGTGGCTAAGGGCAGGTCTTGGAGCTGTTCTACCTCATTGTCGAGATTGTCTGGGTTGATGATGGCGATGGGCTCCTTCTCGGAGTCGGGGCCGCCGACGTATTCGTCGGTGTCCACCACCATCTCGTTCGGCGAGTGTATGTCGTTGTTATAGCTCTGTGTCGGTAGCGATGAGGGTTAGCTCAATGCAGGCTTGGCGGTATGGTAAATTAGGCGACGGGTGGGAGTGATGTCTGTCTGGAGAGGATGGCCGAGCAGCTTGTGGGCTTGGACTTTGGAGGATGGTGGGGTGAAAAGCAGGTGAAGCACATGGGACGTGCCGAGGGGAGATTGCAGCGACGAGGGCGGACTCAGCAGACGGGAAGCTCAAAGAACGGAGGCGAGAAACAATCGGGCAAGGGAAAGAGGGGCTGAATGGCAAGTGAGTGGTTGTCGAGGCTTACCATGGTCTACAACTGTGGTGTGCAAGAGGATGCACAATGTCGCTGCCAGTGCCAGGGCCGGGGCCAAAGCCAGGAAAGTACAGCTAGACAGCGATTCGCGCCAGTGCTGCCTCGATGACGAAGTAGGAGCCGCGAAGGGCAGGCGGGCAGCGGGTGATGGAAGGTAGCCGGCAGGCTGCGTTCAAAGACACGGGCACGGCGGGTGCAAGGAGCAATGGTGTCTTGGTGAGAAGGAATCAGCGTTGGGGTTGGTGTCGGCGAGGCAAGAGTAGTTGCATGAATTGCAGC